TCACTAAGCAGCTCCATTAATTTACAGAGACTCAGTTTTCAAGACACTGTTTGTTTCCCAACCTTTTCAACACTCTCTCATTGGTGTGACTTAAATACATCGAGATTTATACAAAAATAATCCTTGTTCACAGGAATAACATGCCGTAGATGCATGCTGAAACTGTGCCCCTGATATCTACATGCAACCCAGGCAAGACTCCAGGAATGATCTGCAGGACCATAGCTCACTTCTCAACTGGTGAGTAAAGGTCTAAATTGAAAGCATGACTAGTAAAGGACTGTGTGGTAGATCTGTGTGTCAAAATCCCTGCTTACTGCACCTGTCAGGGATATTTTCCCTCCAGAGATCAGAACTAGAGAGGAGATTCCCTCTGGAGCCTGCGAGCTCTGTCTGAATGAGCCATTCAAATATGCACTACACTAAACATAGATTTAGAATAGCCACAGTGGTGTGCTCTGAGACAGAGACGGACACCAGAGACAGTTCAAAACAGGACAAATGACTCTGAAATGTCCACATTATCCTGCAGTTAGCAACAGTCTCACACACTGTAGTGAATGGTGAACAAGCACAGACATCTTACTATAGTCAATTTAAAAAGAAAATGCTAAAAAACAAAACAAACACTTATCAGACTTGTACAGTATGTTAGTAAAACATACACACGTGTCAAGTCGAAAATGATAAATCTGGCAATAAAAGAACAAATGCTCCTACCAAAGCCCTCATGCTTGTGTCAAGAGCTCAGTCGCTTCCATTATCAGACGTGGCTACAGCTCTCAGTGCCAGTCTGATCTAAAAATGGCCTGACAGCCACATTCTCCCTGAGCACAGTATATGTTGGTGGCTCAACAATGTTCACCAACACAAACAAGACCATGCCCCTCTATAGTCTGACACCTCAGCTTCACCCACTCCTCTCCTGGACACAAACTAATAGTTCAGCCAAAGTTTTAACAGTTAAATGTAACCAACCAGAGAACTAACATTTCAGTCTTGTGACATGTTGGTGATAAAATTAGGCATTTTCTGTGTTACTGTTGAATGTGTTCATTCCTGTCAGAGTTTTCGCGGTAAATATCAGAAACTGAACCTGATAGTGTTACTGAGCTCTGTACAGAAAGCTTGATGTAATAGTAATAGATGTCTCCGGTGTTACTCTGTCTTCACTCACACTCACACTCACACACTCACACTCACACACGTGCACTTCCACCTTTCAGAATCAGCTGTTGGTTATCATCACGTCTGTCTGCATGTCCCCAAAGGGAAATAAAAAACACAGACTAACATTTTTAAACTCGTTAGTTTGATGATATATGAGTAATTTAATCAATAATAGAAAAAATAATTAAAAGGTCTAATAAGATTGTGTTTCTTTAAATTATGAAATGTCACATTTCACACATATATTCTGAGAAAATACAGAAGTCTTTTTGCTGAGTAAATGAGTAAATAAAAGTGATTTGAGTCAAACAAAGACATACAGTATGACAATGGTGTGATAAAAACCTACCGGACTTCAGGTGTAGGGCGCCCCCTCACGATGCAGTCCAACTGGACCTTGCTTCCCTCTGAGACCTCTCTGCTTTTCAGTTTCTGGATGAAATGTGGAGGCTCACACACTGGCTCTGTAGGGAAGGGAGTTTCTGTCAAGGTAGAGTTTTCCACTTCCTCCTCCTGCACCTCCTTTGAATCACTGCTGTATTGCTGATTCTCGGTAATCCTACAGTCCTGAAGGTCGACCTGACATGTCCCACAGTCCAGTTGGACCTCTGGTTGGTGGTTGGTAGGCGGGCTGTTCCTCTCCTCTTCTATGGGGAGAATGGTGCGTTCCCTGCTGTCAGAGCCAAAGGAGGGAACCGTCTCATCATCCTGGTTCTTGTTCTGCGTCCTACTCCGGTGAGCTTTGCAGGCTCTTGGACGTACCCGTTTGGAGCTATTGGCCTTGAATAATGAGGAGAGCTCCTCAATGAAGTCTGCTGCTTTGTTGAGAAACTCCTTCTTGGACTGGGTCTCCGGACCATAAGGTGCATTCCTTGCTGGTTTGTTAAAGTCTGGGACTCTTTCTCTGGGCTCTCTGTTGTTTCTGGTCACGTTGTTTTGCCGTGTGGTGGCTTTCAGCATCTTCCTGTCGGATGTAAACGTCACATTTGCTGCTTGCTGTTCCATGGTCTCAGGGGTCGGCTGGATGAAGGTCACAGTGGAAGCTGGAGTGGAGTTAATGATGTGAACAGGAGAGGTTGTAGTGGAGAGAGCTGAGACTAAGGGGATGCTGGGTGGGGCCAGCAATGGTTTGACAGAGGCCTTGACCTCCGCCCTCTCTTCACGGGGCTCATGTCCAATGGCCTGCTGAGCCAGATTCACGCTCTTATCTAGCTCTTCCTGGCTCAGAAAGGCTGAGAGGTCCGGCAGGTGGGGCTCATTGTGGCCCAGAGAGTCCTCAGACTTACCTTTTAGTGAACCATAGACTTTAAGATGGGATGACAAAGCGTCAGAACGACTCATTTCACTGTGGCGCTGTTGAGCTCTGGCCTCTGCCAGGTAGTTCTCTCTGAGAAGCTGGGACAGTGATGGTGGCTGCTCACTGTTGTTCTCCTGCATGCTGTGGAAATAATTATATTCATTTTTTATTCATTCAGCATTGTAGTTTCAATGTCTTTTACTCAAGAATACAGTACAGTTATTCAGTGCTTTTATTGTTTTAGTCACTTATGGCTGCGCCAGAAATACTTACTCTATCATCAATATTAATATTTAGTTACAATTTTAATTTGCATCATCTAAACATGTGCTAAAGCAGTTCAAAAAGCAGATTAGTATTAGCCCAATGGTAGCCTGAAAACACAACTCCATCATAGATAAGAAGAAAAATAGCAAGAAAAAAAATGATAACAAATTTCTAATATTAAATTTATTTTCTTGCAAAATGTATATTTATCTATTATCAATGATGAATATTCATCAATTTATAGTAATTTCATATTTTTTGTAGGTAAACATATATATTTTAATGTTTTGTATCAATGAACATTTTTTTAAAGAATTAACACAACTTAATTATTTAATATATAATTCATATATCTCTTTTAAAAAGTGTGGATAAACAATTATATTACATAAACAAATATAAATATAACTGCATATTTAGACACAGTTTTTTTTACAATATGGAGCAGAGGATTAAAGGGTGGCTATAAAAACGTTTAATTTATCCTAATTTCAGCCGTGCATAAGCCCAGAGGGGATCAGGTTCATGTTCTGACACAGGATCTGACTGAGTCACAATCACAGGCTTTTTTACCCTGTTCACCTCAGACCAAGACTTTGGAGACTTTTATTTTTCTGCACAACGTTGTGACACTGTCAATGACCGAAGTTTTGAATACAGACATGAGATAGGGTACACATATGCCACTGACACTCAGATCTACGCAATTAAGAGAGACAGAAGTGCCCTTCCAACAAACCTGAGGCTGCAGCTGTTGTGTGCATTAATCCTGTGCAAACAGCCTCCAAGCCCACCAAGTCATATCTAATAATAGCAGGGGCTCAGTTTACATGAAGAAAATCAACAAAAAAAAAAGCAGTTCCCTGTGTCTGTGTGTTATCACAGTTTTGTTCAGTCACAACAGCCGCTAATCAAATTACCCAAACAGAGTTATAATTATCAGAAGTGAAGTACTGTTGCAGTGACACAATTCCCTGATTTAACACAGCAGTGTGCAACTGATATACAACTTAACAGAATTGAATTAAATAGGAATGTAATATTCAGACACAAATAGATTCAAGCTTGGCTGAGATTTTGAGGCTACACTCAGTATATGAGAGGCTCAGGCAACTGTGGATAAGAGTTAAATCAGTGGGAGGTGTGTTTTTACCTTCAGCTGACTCCCACTGAAGGGCTGTTAAATCCTCAGGTTGCACCTGTGCTCAGAGACAGAAGGATTCCTCTCTTCCAGTTGCTGCCACCTGGGAAAATCCTGGGACAACAGCAGCTGCACAGACTTCCCGCTTTTCTCACAGAGTTAACCCTGGAGTTTACAGGAAAATATGGAGCTGTGTAGATAGGGTAACCCGTCAGCAGTAAAAGTAGCAACATTTGTCAGTGCAGTAGTCGCAGGTTATTTTGGGGACGACTGACCCATGTGTCTGAGTTTCGCCCCTGCTCATTGGCTAGGGGCAGTGTGCTGTAAAGGGATTCCTCCTCTAGTGCTCAGTCAAGACCTCCGTCCTACAGGATTTAAAACCCCTTGTTAACACTGACACAAATGTATTCTGGAACTGCAGATTAACAGCAATTAACCAGTTCTGAAATTTTACGCTGAGTAGAAACTTGGACTTGTTATTTAATTTGTTAAACTTACCTATAGTTTACAGATGTTAGGCCTGTCAACTAGTAAGTTGACAGGCCTAATCATCCACCAGCGGCCACGTTACCACTGAGGTGCTCTGAGCATGGCACTGTCCCCACTCACTGCTCCCAGGGTGCTCAAAAAGCTGCCTACTGTTGGACTGTTGACACCTGATGTTCAATCTGCCAAGTGGGATTCGGACCTGTGAACCCCTGAAAACAAACCTGCTCCTCTTACCACATGGTCACAGGCTATCAGAACAGTTGCGGAAACAGCCTGTTGGTTTAAATTTAAACCTGTTTTTTTAAGAGCAGGGACGATTAAAATGTAGAACACTTTGAAAATTAATTTATTATCTAGGAGGTTGGATTTGTTCCATTCTCCTCATTGGATGTATCGTACAATTTGTGTGCTTTGGCAGCATCTAGTGGTTAAGTTCAGAAATCACATGCTTTACTATTCCTCTCCAAGTACAGTAGAAATGTGGTGGCAGCTTAGATTATCACTGAAACCAAAGATTATTCAGTTCATCTATGGTACTAACAGCTTTAATAAAATCGAGGTGATCACTGGGCACCATGTAAAAAGAAAGGCTAATTTTGAGGCAGTAAACAGGTTAGAATGAATTTATCTTCATGATTTTTTTTTTATTCAAAGCTAATTTTATACATTGTGTAAAGTACTGTAATTAGGACAGGAAGTACTTCCATCATTACCAGGATACAAGTTATTATGGACATCCCAGAAACAACATGATTTTAATGAACCCAAATGAAACAGGTTATAGATGATCTTTAGAAGATTTTGAAAGTGAGAGAGAAATGGGTAAATTCTCAAACAGTGTTCTGTGGCGTTTTAAGGTCTCTGGCACTCATATCAGGGATGTCCCTGGCTAGTCGCTACAATAAACATAAGCTCAAAGTCACTTACTTTTATAAACATAACTGGCTCAGGTAGCATACAACATTAACAATGTATGTTTTCATTCATATGTAATGTAATTTATATGTTCATATGTAATAGAAAAGCACTATACTGGAATTCTTCACTGAAACTACTGGAAATTGCTGTCCAGTTTGCCACCAGGGTAAAGGCAACTATAGGAGGAGAATAGATATTGAGGTCAGTGACTGCATACACTAGGTTTTACACAAGATGTAGACTTAGTTTTAACACAGACAATATTATTAGCAGCAAAAGGAAGTCTTAATTAGCCTGGGTGCAGACACTTCGACACCAGACGTTAGGAATGAAACCCCCAACACCAGCCCATTATCGTGAAGGCACTGTTAAATGAAGAGAACATGATCACTCTCAGGACACAAAACTTCAGCATCCTACAAATACTGAAGCAAACAACAGCAATGGCCTTTAACACAACCGCTGAACGTGTTCTCTTTGTTGTTCACAGTGTTTTTGTGACATTATTGTGTCAAACGAGGAAACTGACACATTGTTAACATTGTATCTAGTGCAGTGAGCCAACTTGTGATTAAGATGCAGGAGGCACAGTAACAGTTGTAGCAAAAAAGACTGCCGACATCAGGAGTCATCGCTGGCCCGTTTGCGGGACTGGTCACCCCTGGAAAACAACAACAGAACATCATTATCAATGCTTAAAAAGAAAAAGCCTTTCCAGTCATTAGCTAAAAAAAAATACTTTGGAAACTGACCGTGAAAATCCATTCATGGACAACTCCATCTGGAGCTTCTGGTCATGAGCAGCATAGTCAGACAGCAGAGACTCCACAGCAGGAGGGTTGATTTGGGGAATAAAGGCAGAGAAGAGAGCTGGGGCCAACTGGGCCCACTCTAGACAAGGAAAACATAAATGTATGAAACCAAAAGAGCATGTGAATCTGGTAGGACTGGGAATCAAGCCTGCACTCCCTGTGTAGGCACAGCCATTTTCAGTGATAGTAACAAAAGGGAAAGAAGATGAAGGAAAATCAAAGGAGTACCACAGAGTAGTAACAGTCCAACTTTATTTTTTTATTAAATTAAATGAGGTTCCTTCAATATGGCAGACAATATTAGGCATCAACGTTCGAACTCGGAAAGACTATTATTTCCGAAATATGTAGACAGGAAACAGCTTTAAATCTTTGCATAGTTTGGTAATTGTATAATTCATACTGGGGATATAATTTGTGATTTAAAGACTGGACTCTAACTTTGAACATTAAGGAATCATAATTTAGAAAGAGTCAGAACGAATATAGGAAATCAAATAAAACAAAACATACTATGTTATCACACATCTATTCAGTTTTGTGTGGTAGACGCGTGACGCTTAATTCACACATAATATACAGCTCTATTAACCATGCCTTAAAGTTTTTAAAAATTAAAATTATTTTTATAATATAATTTTTTTTAACTATTAAAAGAGATAAAACCTGAACAAGTGACAGAATAAAAATATAAACAAGTGCTCACCTGGTTGTAGACTGTAGAGACCTTTTACTACACTGGCCATCGTAGCTGGCTGCACCTTAAAGGGCAGGGAATGAGCTTCAATGAGAAGAGCTGAAGACATGAAAGGAAAGAAAAACACAAATGGTTAGGAAATCACAAGTATTCAACATTATCAGCAGATGTACAAATATTAATAACAATGACTTTGATATTTATTGCGTTTATCTATGGTATTCATTTTCTAAAGTCTTGAATGTGACAGTCCACAAATGGACATGTGATAGTAACATAATAAAGGAATACTAGAGATGAGTATTTTTAATGACCCATCAAGGATTATTGTGGACTCACGCATCAGTGTGTTCACGTGTTTCTCTGCTACATGATAAGCAAACAGTTTCATCAAGTCCTCCTTGAGGTCTCTGTTCAGCTTTGACTCCACGTAAAACTTGTTCTGAAAACAATGAAATCACTGTCAAATCGATGCAAAGTGAGTATCTCTGCACATCCATTTTTCTCTGTATATTGAAAAATACTAACCAAATACATAAAAACAGGAACAATACATTGCAGGGAAGCAATGAATTCTGTCAGTGCAACATTGAAGTTCTGGATGAAGTTCTCCTGCGGACTGGCCTACAAGACAATGGTGCAATTATACTGGATATTCTGCTGAGGTCGGTGTCAATATTTTTTTATTAATTCCCTGAACATACTTGCAGATGGGTGGAAACATGCTGCAGATGACTTGTTATTTTTGATATCAGGTCATTGTAGAGCAGCTCAGAGTGCTGCTGACAAACACACTTGTAGATATAACTGGGAAAAGAGGAAAATAAAACATCATCTTTATTCTTAGTGAACATGTCTTTCTGCACGTGCATCACATGCATTTATTTATGTGTGTATTCCTACCTGTATATCTGTGCATAGGAGACCGAAATGTGGTCTGTAGGATTCTGAATGAGAAGACGGTCAATTGCCTTCTCCAAGTTTGGCCAGTGGTTTTTCTTGTAGTCTTCTACAGCCATGGCATTCAGGACTGTAAAAGGCAGAGGTGGACATGTAATGTGATTTCCTGAGGCTGGTCTGAAAAAAAACTGTGCTGAGATATTATTTGATTATATCCCGGTTGTCTGCAACAAACAAAATCAACATATTTTGTTGGTAGCATTAATCACAGTGCGATCTAAAAAGCATGTCTCCATGCACTTATCATTCAGATTAAGCGGTGATCAATGGATTTATTTGTTTTTTTAAACTAGTTTCTTTCTTTAACAAATCTTATTTGCACAGAAGTCTTGGAGGGGTTGTGTGGCTCCACTAAACTGAATTACAGTATAGCTCTTAACTATAGTCAAGCCACAGTCAACACAGTAACAGTAAGCAGTTAATCAAATCAAAGATCAAATCCATCCCATGATCCTAAATGTTTCTCTGGTTTTGTCTGATATTGCCAATACATTTGATATAGCAAATGAAGTAGCAAACTTGTCTGTACACACCTCTTGTTGTTGCTCAATGACACACACTGTAACTTTAAGTTCGTGTTAAGTGTCCTCTGTTTTAGTATTTGATTACGTGTAATTATCTCGAAAAAAACAAAACAAAACAGTGCAGCGAGTACCAGCATTCGGTTCTGCTCTCACCGTTGTAAATCAACTTACGAAACTTTGACGTGGAATCCAGGGTGAATTTTCCCTTGACAGCTGCCGTTGGAGCTGGACACTCAGACTCGCTGACTTCACTTTCACTGTCTGAATCCGAGTCCACTAACTTCGGCTCACCGGTACAAACTCGGGGCTGCGGTGTCCCTCGATGAATTCCCGGCTCTGCTCTCCGCACCGGTGGCCAGACTATCAACGGCACGGTCCTCCCGTCCGACAGTTGGCTGCTGAGATACGTGTGAACTCTACTGCTGCTACCGCTCGCACGATAGTTGTGGTTGTGGTCGTCGTTAACGTCCAAACTGTCGTCTTCCATTGCCTCCATTTCAAATAACCAACTAAGTATTTAGGTTTGGTTACTGAACAGTCATTATCATTTCAGATAATTGGGGGATAAAACAAGGACAGAGAAGGGAACTGTCAAACAACTATAGTAGTCTCCATCTTCGTGTTGGTATTGTTGACGGACCTTTTTACGACATAACGTATCACTGCACGACTGGGGGCGATGGGAAATGTAGTTATATAGACTGAGCGACTGCGCCGTAAAGCAGGGTTTCCCAAAGGGGTGCGCGAGATAAAAAAAAAAGTGAGGCGGTTTGGAGTGTTTTTTAAGTGGGATGTTTACTGTGTTGCAGAATATTGAACATTTGTTACGTTTCAGTTTAATTCAAATGCGAGAGCACATTGTTATTAGCGTGGATGATATGTGTGTTCTGGTTATTTAAGCTAGTTAGTCAGTTATGACATTAGTACAAAGGATCTTGGTTCCTTTGGTACTTTGAACCTCCAAATGTAGCTCTGAATTGAGAATGTGTAAGTAGAACACAAAAAGAGTTTAGACAAATGAAAATGATACTAGGTTAATTTCTTTCACATGCTTTAGTTTGATTGCTAATCAAATTAGACACAACATATTTTCTACCAATGGAAACTTTCTACAATATACACTGCTTTTTGTTTAAGAAACTTTTCAGAGTTCTTTAAATGTTATCTTGTCTGCATGTTTCTAATCAAATTAAAGTATTTTGGGAATTAGAAAATATTTTTTAGACGTTTGTTTTGCAAAATCTTAATTTAGCATGTACTTTGTAATTAGATGTTTAGAATTAGAATTCTTAGCATTTGTCTGCATATTTATCATAAAGTTAAAGCTTTTTGAGAATTTTATAAAATAATTATTAATTTAATTAATTAACCTTTGCAGGCAATTAAATCTGCCTGAAGTCTGTAACCCATGGACACCACCAAACGTATATATACATACAGATATACACATATATAGTTGAAATAACTATTAACTAAAAAATACTTTGTATTAAATTATTTTTGTAGAATTTCAACAATGAGCTTTTCTGTTACAGAAAAAATGTCAATGTCAGCGGTCAACTGTAGGGGGCGCGCTGATATTGGAACTTTATCTAACGGAAATAGGAATACGTTCAACGGAGAAGAAGACCTGTTTTCCGTCGCTAAAGATCCAGTGAGTGACACGAAATGATTGTACTTAACAAGTGCCACCAATGACTATAGGATAGTAATTAGTTAAGTGTACGTTCCTTATTTCCGGTTGCGGATCTGTTGCATGAACCACGAATGTTAGTTGTTGGGGCTTCCAGCGGGCGTTCAAATAAAACCAAACTGGGCTCGGTGGCTACATGTTATTAATTCAAATGGTGGGTTATTTAAAACAATTGTCGGCTGTATTTTGTTTGAAATGGTAGTCGTTCGGTCGAGACCGTTAGTGCAATTTACGCTAGCATATGTGTCTCGGCAGCTAACGTTAGCTTTTGTCAGAAGGTTAGAATGATTCGTAGTTAGTTTTCGTCGAGTAGCAGAGTAATCCTCTGCTAGTTTTGACTTGCAATTGTGTTACAAACATAAACAAAGTCATACTGTAATCATGAGAGGACTAAGACCAGTAGAATTGAGGGCAAACCAATAATTTGTGAATTGAAGCCATGATTGCGTTGAACCCTTTTAATATTTACCTTCAACAATGTCTCCCCACACAGGTGTCCAACGTGTGGTGCTCGGTACCTACAACAGACTGTATCTCTTTATGTTATTTAGCTCAGTATGCTGCCATGTCTTCACCAAGGATGTCATAAGTTCATATCACTAATAATAGTGATGTGAGGGCCCTAACATTTCCTGAGTAGTGTCAAAACATATAACCAACATGAAGGTAAACTCAAACAATAAATGCGATAAAAAAGGGAAGACCGGCGTACTGCAACAATGTTATGACATTGAAGGTCATATTATCATGCAAAGTACAGCATTGTGAAACCAATAAAAGCTTAATAATTGTAATATTGTGTTTAATTGTCTGACAGTTATTGTACCAAGTAAATGTGTAATTGTGACGCAGTTGACCCTAGTGTACACTCGTGAATTGCTGCCACTATACATGTTACGTTCCCTAACTGGCTCTTCTCAGGGGACACCAAAAATGTCTTGACAGGATCAGCTAACGACAGCTGTTGACTGTGGGACTGGTGGGTGAAAAGAAAATAGACGTTATAGAAGTTTCTGAATCCCCGGGAGTTCCAGTAGCAGTACAGCACCAAAAACACACAGATAGGTAAAATACATTAAAATACACACATGTGTAGCAGTACACTGTCAATGAATATGGGATATCTGAACAGTGGATGTTAGTAGATTACTCTGTTAAAAGTATTAGTAGATTAGTAGGTAATTATTCTTGCCATGTGTGGTGTTGTTGATTGCAATTTCAAATATTATATATATTTTGTTATACATTAGTAGGTAATTATTGTTGCCATGTATAGTGTTGATTGCAATCTCAATTATTATACTTTTATACTATTGTTATTCTAAATTAAACTGGTGTGTATGTATAGTAAAGTATATCATGTTATAAAAGCAGAAGTAGAATAATTATAAGGATTTTATGTGAACAAGTATATAAAATATGAAATATATGCACAGTGAAAATAGTTTTGGTGAAATAATTAAATTAAATAAACAGCTATATAGGCAGTTCCAACAGACATATTGGTGTATGAGTGTTTAAATGTATTTTGGATAATTTCCTGTCAAGTGTTTTATGTTTTGGTGTTTACTTTTTTGCTTCATGTCCTTTCTTTAGTGTCTGCCGTCAAAACACGTGGGTTCGGTTTCAGCGGCAACGTCATATGTTTTCCACAGACAAGCAGATGGACTATCAGTGTTTCATGAAGTTCTTTGACTTGAGGGATCCACAGATCGGTAGGTAATCGTCATGTGCAACGTAAACAAATTAATACCGTAAAAGAAACGAGAAAGTACACCGCTTCCTGATTACTGCTAAGGAAATAGTTTGCACATAGTATTATAGAAATGAAATACTGAAGGACATAATGAATCACAGACAGCATCTTTTGTAGAGCTTGTGATAATGAGGAACTTTTGTGGTTGTTTATTTGTCAGTATTCCGGAGAAGTCCTGGAGAAAGCTGAGGAGCACAGCAGGCACATCAATGACATCCAGACCTCACCATGTTCATCAGTGCCTCAAAGGACAACACCGCCAAGGTGAGTACTCTTATGGAAATGATTGATGTGATAACAGTTGTTGAAAAATGTTGTCATCAGAATGACACCTGGCTGGCCATCAAGAAGAACGTAGAGAAGAGTTTTGTTGTTAGCCTTAAAGATGAAACCTGAGTTTTTAGTTTTTGAAGGTGAATAAAGAAAAGAGTTGTCTATGAAGATTCTCAGCCATCAAGGTCAAGGTTGAAGAGTTCTGTTAGGCAACTGGACATTACATTTTTCTTCCCAAGAAGACGTTTCACCTCTCATCCAAGAGGCTTCTTCAGTTCTAACTGGTGGAGGGGAGTACAGTAGATATATACTGTGGGTATGACAAAAAATAAAGCTACTTCAGGTCCCTCCTTTCGGGTGGGATGTTGGGGTCAACTGGGGAAGTGTTAACAGTCATTAGGAGTCTGATGGGTCGTTGTATTTATGCACATGTATTCGTGTCCAGTTGCCTAACGGAAGTCTTCAACAAAGAAAAGAGTTATTGTTTTCCCTTTAACTCTTGGATTTATCGTTGTTTATACATGTGTGGAATTGTGAGCTGACCAGTCATTTG